AGCGGGATTATTTAAAATTATTTATCGCATTTTTGCTGTGTTCTGTTTGATCCGAAACTTTTTAACCAGACGATTTCATGTATAGGCTACGCTTCGCTTTGGATTATTAAATTACTCGTACTCGTTTTGAGATTTTAGTTTTCTAAATGTTTTGTCACTTTTTTAAATAAAACTTGTTTTCAATGAAGCTGTGTTTATATGTTTACCATAATGACATAAAAATAATGTGGTATTATACCATTATGCAGTTCTAATTTACGGCTATTTATTTCTTCTAGCGTTTTCATGATGCAGTTGTTGGATTTGTGGACCACATTCTTCCTCTCTAAGGATTTTTACCTGACTTGAGAAAACCTTGCTTACATGACATCATACTAAGAGGAGAACTGGATACCCAGCTTCCCAAGTCCACCAGCCCCCCTCTGTGGCCTGTGGTGGGTTGCACGTTGGATTTAAAACCAACCAAGCCAATACGAACCATGGATGACCTAATTGCCAGACACTACAACTTCACTGGGAAATTTCGCAAGGTCAACAAGGACCCAGGACTCAGAGCGGACTCTGTCGTGTTCATCATCGTGTGCTGCTTAATAATCCTGGAAAATGTTCTGGTTCTCCTCACCATTTGGAGGACCAAGAAGTTCCACAAGCCCATGTACTACTTCATCGGGAACTTGGCCTTGTCAGACTTGCTGGCCGGGGTGGTGTACACTGCGAACATATTGCTGTCGGGAGCCAACACGTATAGGTTGACCCCGACGCAGTGGTTCTTCAGGGAAGGGAGTATGTTTGTGGCTCTGGCCGCTTCGGTGTTCAGTCTCTTGGCCATTGCTATCGAGCGACACCTGACCATGCTGAAGATGAAGCTTCACAATAATGGTAAGACGTGCCGGGTCTTCATGCTCATCAGCACTGTGTGGTTCATCGCTGCCATCTTGGGCGGTTTACCAATCATGGGTTGGAACTGCATCGAGAGCATGAACAACTGCTCCACAGTTTTGCCACTCTACCACAAGACCTACATCCTCTTCTGCACCACCGTATTCAGTGTCATCCTCATGGCCATTGTCATCCTGTACGCCCGCATCTACGCCCTGGTCCGCACACGGAGCCGCAAGCTGGTCTTCCGCAAGGTCGCTAATGGCCGCTGCAGCAACAAGAGTTCGGAGAAGTCCATGGCCCTCTTGAAGACCGTCATCATCGTGTTGAGCTGCTTCATCGCGTGTTGGGCGCCGCTCTTCATCCTGCTTCTGCTTGATGTTGCCTGCCAGATCCGCACTTGCCCGATCCTCTACAAGGCTGAGTGGTTCCTGGCTCTGGCTGTGCTCAACTCCGCCATGAACCCTCTGATCTACACCCTGACCAGCAATGAGATGCGCCGGGCCTTCATCAAGATGCTCAACTGCTGCGTCTGCGACCAAGCGGCGGGCAAGTTCTCCAGGCCCATCATGGGCGCCGAGTTCAGTAGGAGCAAGTCGGACAACTCCTCCCACCCCAATAAGGACGAGCCTGAATACTCGCCCAGGGAAACCATAGTGTCTTCTGGGAATATCACCTCTTCTTCTTAAAGGGACTTTTGGTGTACATTTATGTCTCGAGTGTGTGTGCAAGTGAGTGTGTTCGTTTGGCGTCCTCATTGTTTGTGATCCTTAACAGTAGCGGAAGTCTGGGAGAAACCAGGATTTGTTGGAAGTCTTGGCATGTGCTTACATTAAAGACTTCGTCTTCTGCTATTCCTGACAGATCGCCAGAACGTTTTTGCAACTTAGGGAAGCACGTAACCAACCATTATTCAGTCTTTTTTTCATCCCTGTCAAATGGAAACCTGTAGACAAGCACTTTTTAGGGAATTGCTCCTTGAGAACCAACATAGGCATTACTGACTCGGTCTAAAATGGATTGATGTGAGAAATACTAGCTTGTTATGGTTGTTTGTACTACATTTTTGGAATTAAATTGAAGAAATACAGTCGAGAGGTGCTTGTATTTCTTTAAGTTAACACTATGGTATTAGGATGTTATTTTGCCCCTGATCCAGAATGTATTTTGTAAATGCATTTGTTTTTCTTCACCTTTCAACAAATAAACTGTTGTTGTAGAAGAGTGTGCATGTACATTAGCTGTCAATATTAATTTATCTTGAAACAGTTCCAATAAATTTGAAATTTGGAGGGATGGAACTAAGTGTTGTGTTAATTAATTGTAAATATATTTTATTATTTTACTTTGATAGTATGCCGTGTATCATAGCTCGTGCACATTGATCTGCTCTGCCGCCCATCAGGGGTAGTTTTGTCTTTGCTGGGTTGCATGGCTCAACTCTAATGAAGTTAATTTGATGGGATGGAAATATCTGGGGAATTTAAGATTAATGTCTATGTGAATTTTCTGTTGGCTTGTCACATTACAACAGAATTAATGTACACGCTTGTATTTATCTGTTCCTCATACATAAAATCAAATCATGAGCCAGTTTTATCCCTGTTCAGTGTTGCACATTGTAACATCTAGTCCATGTGTTTTTGTTCTTTTAGTTGTTAATAAATATTGTTGAAGAAAAAGCAATCAAAGTTGTGATTTGATTTAATTAAAAATTCTATTTAAACGTTTTGCTTAGTATTTAGAATTGGGTCCAAAATTTGGAGACCATATTGAAAATGCAATGCAGAAGCAAATTTCAAAATTAAAACCTAAAAATACAAGAAAAAGCAATCAAAGTTGTGATTTGATTTAATTAAAAATTCTATTTAAACGTTTTGCTTAGTATTTAGAATTGGGTCCAAAATTTGGAGACCATATTGAAAATCTGCAATGCAGAAGCAAATTTCAAAATTAAAACCTAAAAATAAATTTTAAAAACTTTATGGACAAAAAGTCTGATGTTTTTTCATTGAAGTTCAAGATGCAAAACCTATCTGCTTAAGTGCTGCTGTCATTAGAGAAAAGAGAGACATACTAAAAATTCAGCTTAATTTTTCATGTTAATTAATTAAATAATTAATTATTAAAATCAAATTGTTATGGTGACAATATAATTTGTAATTAAAAAATAATTTATCCGTAATTAATTTGTACATTTAGCAAAAATGCAAAATAGAATCATTTTCACAAGTGGTCTCAGATTTTTGAACACCATTGTAGATGTAAATAGAATTACAATTAAATAATATGGTTATATAGATGCAATTAAATTATAAGGCAATTTAATAACTCCTGAAGAGCACAAAGGACAATAAGATATAATGTAAATATAATTCTGGTTTCTTCGCAGTAGCAAAAAATTCTCATATATGAGCAAAGAGCGCCACTTACTGGACAACTGCTAAAATGGCTTCTTTATTAGATTTTAAGATTTTTATAATTAATAATTATTACCTAAACCACTCGCAAATTTTTAAATATGCTTATATGTACATATTTACACTGATAATCCACATTTACATTTAAATGGATGCATTTCTGACATATTCAGTTTCATGATACCACTTCATGATACTGCTACTGTAAGCAATTTGCTTTTTTACTTTTTTTTGTGTAATTACCCGGTGCATACTGTCCTGTATACATCCATAATATATATTTAAATCTAAAATCTAGATACTGATTCAAGAAGATTCATGAATATGTTATGAATCAACTACCCATTTAGTTTACAGACACACAAATAGGGAATACAGTGCCTCATAAAATTGTTTCCCTAAATGATAATTATTATACTTATTATTAATTATTTTGTATTATTACTGTAAAAAAAATAGGGTTAATTGCAGCCTATCCCTTAGGATTTGATTACTGATATATACATTTTATTTGAAACTGATATTCAGAAATTCAAACTCTGAAATTCATAAAATCAGATGTAGAAATGACTGAAATTAATGTAACAAGTTAAATTGTGGAAACCCATTTGTTGCTATAGCTCAATGATGAATGCTATAGCTCAATGTTTCTTTTTTCAGAGAACCAAAGCATTACAATGTAACTACAACATGCAGTACAATAATTTGAAAACGGTTAAGGCTTCATTGTGTAAATACAATGCAAATCACGGATGGTAAGGAATGAATAACGGATAATTATGTCAGTTTGTTAAAGACACATGACAAAAAATTTTTCATGGGTTCAATGGGTTCAGTTTTATTGATGTCATGGAATGGGGCTGCATTGCCCTGCAACAAGAGATCCTTTTCCATTTGTTTAATTTATTCATAAAATGCAATATTAATGTAAATGTTTATAACGGCTTACAGTATTTCAGTAAGTAAATACCTTTTTGTTTATACTCCCTCACACATAAAATATAGGAAGAAACTGTCACCAAAAAATGCAACCAAACTCTTTACGCACTTTCACAGCGATGGTAAAGCAAAGCATCATGGGAGCGTGAGTCTATACTTGGGAATTTCTCCATTTTTGGTTGCTATGGCTGTAGCGGGATAGAACTACATTTCCCAGAATGCCATTTTCTGTACATTGGCTCATGTTATACATGGGGGAATATGAGAGCGGCGGAGGAACCGAAAGCGACAGCCGAATACCTGGCGATAAGTATAACATTAAATAGTGGTCGTGAAATGGGGGGAATTCAAAGCCAAATCACCCAGAACATGCTGTCGTAAAAGGAAAGTCGTATTTGGTGTATTTTTTTTTAAATATAAATTTGGCGTGGACTGGGGTAAGGCACCTCCCTGCCTGCTCTGCGCCGGGGTGTGTGCTTGTTTTTCGGGTAGGCTTCATCGCATCACCGCGCTGCAGTGTGTTACTGGAACCGAACTGAGGTGCCACGCCGCCGGTTACAGATGCCCTGCGCCGTCGACCGATACTATGTCAAAAACAGAGAGAGTCAAAGTAGCACTGCGACTCAATCCTACTGACCTATGCAATGAAAAAATGGCAACTTTGCTCTCTAACAGCTGTGGTTTGTAGCCATAAAGAAGTGCAAGTGTGCAGAAAAATATAGTGGAGCGTTTTTTGTGCCTGTTATTAAAAAGGTGAGGTAAAAAATGTGCATCTCACTACAAATCTAACTTTTTTGAAGATAATTGGGTCATACTTTACATTACATCGTTATTGTTGCAATTGTACTATTTAATTACGTAATTTAATGTTATCCTTCATGTTAATAATGAAATATATGTATTTATGATGTTCATGAAACTGTTTGTAATTGCACAATCTTGTAATTAAACAGGTTGTTGTAATTGCTGCTGTTAACCCATTAATTTAGTTATCCATCATTTAACTCTGTAGCTTTGTTACACTGTAATGCTAAGTGTTACAAACAACAGTGTGAGTTCTTATAAATGAAGCGTGTAATTTTTGCAAAATAATGGGTATGTTTAAATTGCCCAATCAAATCATGCAAAGTGGACTTCACAGGACATTTGGCCACTTTAAGTCAAATTTAAGATTTCCACTGCAAACTACTTAGGGAACAAGTGTACATCGGCATATGACTTCACAGGAAGTGGAAAGGGGGTTATTTACCCACAAGGCATTTTGTACCACCTCGAATATGTCACTTCCCTACTATATAGCATGTCAAATGTACGTTGTGCCCAAATATGCAGTAATAATGAAATGGTAGCTGAAAAATATCCAAATTGACGGATTGCATCTGCTGACATTGTGAGGTGTGCAGTCAGGAAACTTTCCTGTCCCATAAGACCTATTAAGCTGAGGAGCTGTCAGATTTAGAAAAGCTGACAAATAAAAATAAAAATGATGAGCCATGTGGCTCTTTCCACATGTAAGTGCTATAGGTACCAAGAACGCTGGTTCCCACTAGTCAATTATTTATCAAATTCAGTACATACTCTGATAGGATGGGATTTTGGACACAGAAAAAGTTTGGCTAAAAAAAATGTGATTGGCATTTTTATTCAGGCTGATGAAAAGAAGTGCTTTTTATGCTGTTTTTGAGCGTGTAAAGTGAGATGTGATTAGCGAGAAGACATCACATTTTCATTTTAAACACCAGTTGTTTATTACTAAACTAGGTGTGTTTATTTAAATATATAATTCAATATATAAGTACAGCATGGAGTTGTTATATACATTTATATATTTAAAAGTATGGTAATGTATATTTATTTCTAAAATACCTACCTGACTCTAGTGTTGTCTGTGACAGTGTGACTTGAGTTTTCCATATGACCAAATTTTGTCAGGTGACGTGAACTTCTACAAATATCCCCTGTTGAGTGTGTAGGGTGCAGTGAACACTAAGTAGAGACCCTGTGAATTGGAATACAGCTAATTTCTTTTTTTTAAAAACAGGTTTTTGAACACTCCCCTGTCAGCCATTGGTCGACTGAACAGTTAGTCCCACCCTAAAGTCACACCACCGAGAGACAGTGTTTACACTTTCTGTGGGAATCAGTCTACGAATGGTTTAATTATTGTTGTCTCTGTGTTTAAAGTTGGGATAGGAGGAAGTGTTTGGATTAAAAAATATATATATTTAACATTGTTTGTAAATAATGCTGATTGTTCTGTGGTGTTTTTATTAAAATTATTTTTATTGCTGACATGCTCAGAAAGTCCCACTGTAACAGTTCTAAACTGTTCTTGTTGTTTTTTTTTTTTTATCAGCAGCTTTGAAAAGCAGCAATAGGCAGCCCGCATGGAACGAGCAGGAAGCATCCAACTTGATATTCCGGACTTCAGCAACTCCGTCCTGTCACATCTGAACCAGTTGCGAATACAGGGCCGTCTGTGTGACATTGTGGTCAATGTTCAGGGCCACAGTTTTCGTGCCCACAAGGTGGTCCTCGCCGCCAGCTCACCCTACTTCAGGGATCACATGTCACTGAGTGAGATGAGCACCGTGTCCATATCAGTAATCCGCAACCCAACCGTGTTCGAGCAGCTCCTTTCCTTCTGCTACACGGGACGCTTGTGCTTGCAGCTCGCTGATATCATCAGCTACCTGACGGCTGCCAGCTTCCTTCAAATGCAGCACATTATTGACCGTTGCACCCAGATTTTAGAAGGAATCCACTTTAAAATCAGTCTGTCAGATGTGGAAGAGGAGATCGGGAACGGGGCCCACAGGACCGCCAACCAAACCATTGAGTCAGGAAGAGGTGGGACCGGGCTAGGTGGGTCCCGCTCCCTAAGTCCCAGACATACTAGTTCCCGATTGATTAGCAACACTGGGGTGATCAACATCCGTGATGTGAGGGAAGTCCGAGAGATCAGTCCCCCTGGGGAGTCCATGAGTCCCCAGATTGTGGAGCACAGTGGCATTGGCTCAGAGGAGGTGGGAACTGGGAAAGAGCCCATTCTCCGTATCAACCGTGCTGGGCAGTGGTATGTCGAGACGGGGACTGAGGTGGAAAGAGGAGGAGAGGAGAACGTGCGGATGGTGGACGGGTTTCGGATTAAGACGGAAAGGATGGATGAGTGGATGGGAGCGGAGACCCAGGCGTCGACGGAAGAGGGCAGTGGGGCCGAGGAGGGGCCGACAGTGATGATTGACACCTCAGGACGTAGCACACTGGTGCAGGAAGGAGGAAGAGGTGGGAAAAGCTCCCAGCCGTCCAGTAGCATCAGTGAAACAGAGAGGTGTGTAAAATCTTTCTGAAGTTTACTTTCAACGCCAAAATGAAATCAAAATCTTATTCTTATTGAACATAGTTCATCAGTTCATGTTATTCTGATGAAATTGTGTTAATTGGTCTTTTATCAAAATGTAGTGCCTTTCTCCACTTCTAAAACAAGTTTCTATTTCAGCTAATGTCACCAAGCCTTCTTACTTTTCAACCCCTTTCTTTTAACCATTTACATTATCCAATCAGTACTTGATGATACCATATTGAATAAGTATCCCATTCTACTCAGAATTGGTTGTATATTGGATGTAGTTGCAAACATCCTTTCATGTTGATTATAAAGTTTGGAAAGTCCAGGTGTGATATTTTAAAATGTGATGCATTTACCCCATTAACCCATTTTCTTCTGCCGACAAGTGTCCTGTAAAAGATTGAACCCATACTGTGTTTTTCTTTCAGGTTTAGTCCAACAGGAAGTGTGGTTGTGATGGCTGATCACCAGAGAGCCAAGAGTGAGTCTCCAGGAAGAGTCGACGATCAGAGACACCCCTCCTCACAGGTAGGGCAACCTTGATCAAGACTTGGCTCTATACACTTACAACCCTTGGTTTAACTTTTTATGATCTCTGAACACAGTTGAAGTAATTTCAAAGGAATATCAGTGGAGCACACCTTACCGAGCTAATAAGAAACTTTAAATTGCCTGCAGTTGCGTAATACTAAGAACAGTTGGTGTGCCTAACTTAGAGTGCATTTCAATTGGGAAAAGGGGTGGGAATCATGAAAACAAACCATAACCTCTCACATTTCCCTTACTAGGGAGAGGAACAAGCTGTGTTTGACATGGGGGGATACGAGGAGTACCTACGAGAACAGGTAGGTGATCGGTGGTTCCGCTACAACCCCCGTCTCACCTGCATATACTGCTGCAAGTCCTTCAACCAGAAGGGCAGCCTAGATCGCCACATGCGCCTGCACATGGGCATTACCCCCTTTGTTTGCCGAATCTGCGGGAAGAAGTACACCCGCAAGGACCAACTCGAGTACCACATCCGTAAGCACACAGGAAATAAGCCTTTCCATTGCCACGTCTGTGGCAAGAGCTTCCCGTTCCAGGCAATCCTCAACCAGCACTTCCGCAAAAACCATCCAGGCTGCGCCCCACAGGAGGTGTCCCATAGTGCCTCGCCCGAGACTACCACGGTCACCTCCCGTGGAGGCCAAAACGAAGATGAGTCGCCCTCCCAGGAGGATGCTGAGGGCAATGGTGGAGGTGACGGCTCGTCCTTCGGAGAAGGTGTCCAACCTTCGGTATCCACCACTGGGCCCGACTGAAAGGCTTTGAAGGAAAACGTCACAAGTTTAGGGAGACACAGGACAGCGGGGTCCAACAGAACCTTCTCTTGAGAAATCCCTCTGTCCCTTGTCTCCCACCATCCACACTGAAATTACAAGTTGGAAGGAGTTGAGTGAGCAGGAGGTTCTCTCAGCTGCTGTCAATGAGGAACGGATAAAAAAGGAAGAGTCTTCTGTGTCCTACTTGGACGAAGATCCTCTATTTTTTCCAGTGATAACAAAGATGCAAGGAACAATTTGGTAGGAATAGTATTCTCTAGGGATTTATAAATGGTATTTCCGCTTTAAACCACATCTACCTTCACCATACAAACTGAACAGGACATCAATATATGAAGACAAGCCACACTTCAACAACCTCACACACCACTGGATGCAGTGATTTTTGTTTTCTTTTTTTTGTTTTTAGTCTTTCCTGTCTTTTATATGTTACTTTTTTATATTTTTGTACTACAACAGATCTTTCAGGATAAACTAAAAGAGAAGCTCTAGCTATGATTTGGTCAAATTGCGTCAAAATTGCCAAACTTCTCTGTGCCAGAAGATGAGTTATAAAAAGAGAGGACATCGTAGTCCTTTGCTACTTTGCCTTGAGACAATCTTGAGAAATTAACCTGGGGCTAGACTTTGCGCTCCCCAGCCATGGCAAGCTTAGGAAAACGGGTTCAGTTTTTTATTAGGGACCCTCAGGTCTGACCTAACATCAGATTCTTGATTTATTTTTTCGTTTTGTGTTTAAGTGCCGATCCGGCCTGCCATAGAACCGAAACACATTGCTCACACTTAGCCTCAACGCAAAGGAAATTGTCGTTATAGAACTTTGGGTTTATAACAAGAAAAACTCACATCATTATTTTACTTTTAATGTTGGTGGTAATACTGTGATATAGGCACTCTGGTGAAAAGATGTTGGTAGAGTATAGCAGTGACATATATATTTATTTCAAGTTTAGTTCCCATTAAGGCTTTCATACATCTCTGAACTCAACAACTCAGCTGCTGAATGTTGGCGATACAGTGATATAAAACAAGGAAATCCTTCAACCTCAGATAAGCTACAATAGACCGCTCAGTTACCTCTCTCTCACATCACTTCGCAATACCGATCTGTCGCACGCAGATGCGTGGATGCACTCAGCTGAATTTTATGTTCAGTGTTTATTTCTTTTCATACGTTTTAAGTCGCTCGTTGAGATTCGCTAGTCACACCAACTTGTTTTACTGGTCTGGCAATACTTTGTTTGTAAGAATGTGTTTGAGCAGGGGTAAGTGGTCTCTCAGAGGATGTAACCTTGTTCCTTTTTTGTGTCAAGTCAAAAGAAATGAGTCTAAGGCTGAGACGAACCAAAATGCGGACTTGGTCGTCGATGCCGTTTAGGAAAACGGAAACCGTATGTCTGTGATGACTGGGATACGCCGAAATGCCACGGAATGACTTTGAGTGTAAGATTTCCCTTCAGCTGATGAAAGGCACTTTAACCTTGGGGTCAAGTTCCTTTACACTTGGCTTATGAACAGATGTTTCCAGCTGGTGCTTTCAGTAACCAAAGGAACTGAAATTTATTGTGGAAGTTCTTAAACCCTTAAGATTTGGAGGGCGAAGAGGAAAAAAAGAGATTACATCAGGCACTTAAAAAATGGGATGGGGTGTTTTTATTTTGTTTTTTGTTTTTAGAATATTTGTATATCTATATACATGTCACTTATGCATATTTAGGCAAATTTATACTTCTAATAACTATACAGAGACAGTTTCTAGAATGATCAACAAAAGCAAAGGTGTTTTAAGTGAAAGTAAAGCTGTTATCATTTTTATAAGGCTGTGAATCACACTTGGTTGTGACTGATTTTTTAGGAAAGGGTTGATGCATATAAAAATCAGCTACTGATGTTTCCAATAGGGATTTTGTGCACCTCACTTAATATCAACACAGGTTAGAACTTACTTTTACCATTACTCACATCTGTGAACACAGGTGAGCAGGTAAACACTTCTTACAAATATCAGGAACTCACTGTTTACTTTTTGTGTTTACCTTTTTTTTTTGGTTTGTACCAAGTGGATTTTCTTACTTAGAATTCTAGCTCTGGGTAACTTGGGTCGACATATTTCACAAGTGCAGCAAAAAAAAAGAAAAGAAAGAAAAAGAAAGAAAAAGAAAAAACTACTTACATATGAACATTTCCTCTCAATGTAAATACCCATGCCTCAGAAGTATTCACAGTGAAATACAATCCTGAAACTGTATAATTTCACGTTTGTTGTACAGCGCAGAACCCAGGTAAATAGAAAAGCATGTTAATATTGCTTTTATATGTCACAATGCAACCTCATGATAATAGAGAAGGGCAAATGATTTTGTCAGTAAACAACATAATCATAATCTAATATGTTATAATATATCAAGAAAAGATGTTCTTTTTTTATGGACTTTGCCTTTAAGTTTAAATTTAGGTTTGGGGCATGGGCCTGTTTTGTGTATGCCAATCATATAAATTGACTTAAATTATCTCTATGTGAATGAATTAATTGCAATCTAATAACAAGGGGTCTATATCTGTAATCAGTCATTCCAGTTATTTTACTGCACATTTTAGCAGTCTAAATTTAATCATATTAATTTGGGTTTTAGGGCTAATGACAACTTTCAGCATGTTTTCCCTTTGTGCATATCTGTTGTTGATCTTGAAAACATTGATGGTTGACCATCCTGCCTGTTCTTTTTTTATTTTAAACAATATTATTCATTCAAATATTATGTTTGGCTTTTGTATTTGTTTTCAAGCTTTAAATAACACGGTGGAGGATAAATGTGTTGCTGCAGTTTATATATTAGGCTGTAATATTTAATGTTTCTGTATGACAATACATCTACTGCAGTTTAATGGTGTTGACTGAACAAGTAATTTCTAACCAAATTGTGTCTAATCTTAACAGTGTTACAGAATATGTAGTTTCAAATTAAGCTACTTTTAAAGCAATATTTCACCCCATTTCCAATTCAGAAATTGCTTTCAGATAAAGTGGTGCAAAATTAAAACGCACCGTAACACACACAATATCTTTTTTAAAGTTGTGAAACTGATGACCAGTTGATTTCGACAAGAAAAAATATGTATCTTGAACTTATAAAGCAATTATACATATTGGCAAATGTGATAAAATTTGTTTCGGTGATTACATGCCTCGTTTTTTTTTTTTTTTTTTTCCTTTTCTTTTCTTTTTTTTCATGGTCTGGCTTGTGAAAAGTAATACAGTGCATGTCTCTACTTACTAGTTTTTTGGGAAGACCGAATTACAACACTGAGCCATATCTTCAGAGTTTGTTCAGTATTGTCGCGAGTCCCTCTGGAGCAAATATTTTGTACAAGCAACACATTTTACTTCAATGCAAATAGCCTACGTATATATTTCATAACTTAGTCTGTCTGAATAAGCAAGCAAACGTGATGCTTTGTCAAAAAAATTTGTCAGTTTTTTTTTTTTTTTACCTCAAAAGAGTCTTTGTACAAGGAAATAAGACATTGTATTTCTACTGACCCTCAGTAGAAATTGTTTATTTGCATGTTGTCTTTGTAACGACCAAACATAAAGACATTTCCAGGCATCTAAATTTGCACCAAGAGAAGCCAAAATATTGACCTTTACAATTTGTCTTGCTATATTGTTTTATCTTGTAAAAATCAATATAGTCTGTAAAGTTCTTTCCATCCCAGATAGCATGCGGATGTGGGCCACTTAAGGCAATGACACAGCACTGGTGGCCTTCTTATGGCCCCGTACAAAATGGATGTAATCCTGAAGTGGCCCACATGTAAAATAGCAAAAATGGCCCAAATTTATCAAATCACATATGGGCCTCTGTAGGCAAAGATGTGATGTTCACGACAATGTGTAATCTGAATGTGACCCTAAGGTGGTCCATGTGGTAGTAGAACAGAAATAGGGAATATGGCCCAAATAGTGCCAACCAAATGTGGTCCACCTTTGGCAAAAATGTGGCACAATCGACAAAGGCTAATCAGGGTGTAAACCAAATGTGGTCCACATATGTTTCAGCAAATGTGGCCCAGGTATATTAA